ATAGATATTTATATTAACAATTTTAATTTATTTGATCAAATCTTAAGGCTATTAAAATGAATAACAAAGTTATTTATTAGTTGATTATACAATAAATGTAGATCATACAATATAATTAATTCAATTAAGATCATAATAGACATTTAAATTACCATGTGATTAATAGATTTTAATTAGCAAAATTAATTATACGTTATTAAGTCTATAATATGATTAGATTCAAATTTTGATTAAAGCCAATTAATGTTAATTGAATTTAAGTATTTAATTGATAATCAAATTGATCATATATTATATTGTGTAGCATGTAGTATAATTTTTTGAAAAGTTAAATAATCTTATCTAATGTACATTGATCATACTAGAATTTTCTTAAAAATATAAAGATAATGCATAGCAATAAAAATCATATAATATGATATTATGATAAGTTTTTATTAATCATAATATTCTATGGTCTTAAGATAATAGTTCATCTATAATTTAAAACTTACCATAATTATAAAAGATGTATACTCAGAGGTCATGCAGTTAAATCGATTTTAGAGATTTTTAATTTTTGTTGATTTTATAATACAATCCAAATTATATATTATGATTATTTAAGATTGATTCAAATAATTTTAATATTAGATTTATGTTGCACTCAATCATCAAATATGTGTGTGTTGGTCATTTTAGCATGTGTAACACTCAATAATAAACTAATAAAAGACTTAGAAATAAAATAGTTTAGATCTTAAACTTATTATCTAAAGTTGACTATTTGAATAACTTGGACCACAAATTTTTTTAGTAACATATGTTCTTCTAAGTATATTTTATTCATAATTTGCCTTTTTAACCTTTACTAGAAGTGTATATTCTTTGCATAAATACATTTTATTTAAATAGTATTGCATATAATAAAATATTTTTGTGTTCACTAAATATTTATTATAAGTTTATGCCCATGGGGTCGACAATATTCTAATATCTCATTATAAAAATCATATTTTAATAATTTATAAGATTTGAGATAAATGTAGATCCACTAAATTTATGCATTTCTATATTACTTCTTATGTGCAATTATGGCAAAAAAGAAAGACTA